TCATGTAGTTAGATTAAACCATGCTTTTAAATCCTGCCTTTTTTTCACTTACTGGAGTCTTTATGTCATTAAAATATTTTGTAAGCACCGTTGTTAATGAATGCATTATATTTCACTGGTTCAATTGATTATAATGAAGAATGCTCCAGTGAACCTTTGTCTACATTTCCGATTTCTTCTGGCAGATTCCTAGACTTGGGATTGTTGAATCAAATGGTAACACTATTTTTAGTCTGTTCATGCCAAACTGATTTTGATGAAGTTGCTACTAGTTCCACACTTGTACAAGTAGAATGAAAGAGTACCTGTATCATTTCCATCATTGAACTTTACCACTAACAAAAGTGTTGCTGATTTGATAATGTAAATAGATCAATTTTTGTCTAATTCATATTTCTTTGATTACTAGTGAAAATGTTTTGATATATTTATTAGGTATTTATGTTACTTCTATGAATTCAGTTTATGAACTTTGCTTACTTTTCTGTAGGAGGCTGTGTTTTCTTATTAAATAATTTTTATATGTTAAAAACATCAGTCTTTTGCCTCTGTGTAAATATTTTTTTCCCATTTTGCTTGCTTTTTAACTTTATGGTTTTTATTGGGGGGGGAACAGAAGTATTTTTACATTGTCTAGATTTTACATTTGGAGTTTGTTTCTGTGAGTTCTTTCATTAATGGTTTTTAAGGAGGAGATATAACCGAGAGGGTTATTGAGGGCCACCATTGCTCCACAAATAATTGAAATCATTGGGTAGAGGCCATTTTATGTACACTCAGTGATTTCACTCCTGTCCCCCCTGCAATTGCTTGTCTCTTATTTCTGAAATCTGTTCCATGTCACCCATTAAACTTATTTTACTTGTCTTTGTTATTCTGCACAGTCTTAACGCTGCCCTTTTGGCCAGCTGTTCTTCTGTCCTATGGCATTTTCTCATGTCCTGATGCTTTCTTTTAAGGTATTATCCAAAGAGATGAGTCACCCATGGAAAAAGGGCTCTCTGGTCTGCGAGGAAGGGACTTTGAGCTGTCTGATGTGTTTTATTTCTCCAAGAAGGGATTGGAAGCCATTGTGGAGGATGAAGTGACCAAGAGGTTCTCCTCAGAGGAGCTAGTGTCATGGAATCTCCTCACAAGGACCAATATAAATTTCCAGTACATCAGTCTGCGGCTCACCATGGTGTGGGTGCTGGGCGTCATAGTACGCTACTGCGTCCTATTGCCTCTGCGGTAAGTCACCTGCCCAACAATTTGATGCTATAAATGGTTCAGCTTTCTTTTTTAATCATTTATATAATGGCTACATAAGAGTATTGTGGTACTGTTATAGATTGAATTGTGTCCCCCCAAGATACATGTTGTAAATCCTAACCCCTATACCTGTGGTTATCATCCCGTTTGGGTGTGGGATTTCTTTGTTATGTTAATGTGGCTGGATTAGTGTAGGGAGTGTTTTGAGTCAATCTCTTTTGAGATATAAAAGACTAGATTAAGCAAGCAAGCAAGAACAAACAGGCGAGGATACCAGCTATAGGATTGCAAGGAACCTAGTAACCGAAAAGAGACAAAGATTTTCCCCTAGCCTGGACAGAGAGAGCCTTCCCCTAGAGCTGGTGCCCTGAATTTGGACTTCTAGCCCCCTAAACTGTGAGAAAATAAACTTCTATTCATTAAAGCCATCCACCTGTGGTATTTCTGTTATAACAGCACTAAGACAGGTATGAATCCTACGCCTTCCTGCTTAGAAAACACCACCAAATGTGATCTCTGCAGGAACTTAAACTTATTATATATCTATTTTTTCAATATTTTTTTCGCAAATGAAGATGTGTATTTACAATCCAATATGTATTTTACAATCTAGATTTACTCTGCTGTTACAGTCATAGATCATCAGAGGGTGAATAGAAAAGGGAAGTTAGAAAAAAGAAGAGGAGAGAGGATTTACAGTCTCACATTCGCCAGGGTGTCAGCCAAACTGTGACAGGCCACCAGAGCCCCTTTCCCCGCTTTGCTGGTCTGTACCAGTCCACAGCCACGCATCGTTGTTATTGTTAGTTACCGCGGAGTCAGTCCTGACTCATGGCGAAAGAAAGAATTCAT